GCCCGGGCTGGGCCGCAGCGTCCGCCCCAGCTTCACCTTTATCGGCGACTTCTGTGTGATATGCGTCCGGCTCCCCCAGCAGAGCGCGAGCGGTCCTCTCTAGGGCGGGGCCCGGTCAGCCTCGCTGTCCGCGGGGCGCCCGGTGCCGCACGGGGCACACAGAAGGCGTCAGTAAATGCCGGGTGAATGAATGAATGAATGAACGAACGAATGCGGCCGTCCTCTCCTCGGCCCAGCCTCATCGGCCCCGGGCCACCCTCACGCCCACCCCACGGACTGAGGCGTACGCACACCCAGCACGTATTTATTGGGCGCCTACTTGGTACTGGGCTTTGGGCTAGGGAAGACAGACTCCCAGCCCCCTGCAGAGGTCGCTGCCTGAAGTTAGTGGGGACATTTTGGGACTTTTAAATTATGTAGGTCCCCATAGCACAAATAATGTAGAAAAATGACAGCAAGAGGGTGGGAGAGGCCTCTCCAACTGGTGGCATCTGATCTAAGACCTGAAGAGCTTACTGAAGTGGGAGTGTGGGCTCTGAGAACTGGGAGGCTGGGGGGAAAGCGTGACCACGGGAGCAGCCAAGATCCCTCGTACTCACAGTGACGTTTTCGGGTCCAGGGCAAAATCTGCTCCGCTTGGGCTCATTGAGTCGTGTAAAGAGGGCCACATGCTTCAGTGCATCTGTTTGTTCAGCCAGCGGTCACTGAGCATCTGTCGTGGGCCAAGCCTCTTGGTGAGTATAAGGGTACAGTATAGGGTGGGTATCAGCCAGGGGAGGCCCCTCAGACGGGTCCTGGAGGCAGCGAGCTGAAAGACAAGTTGCCATTGGAAGGCTGGGGAGAGAAGTAAGTGTTTCAGGCCAAGAGGACAGCCCGTGCAGGGGCCCCAAGGCGGGATCAGGCATGGCACATCCAGAGACCACGAAGGCCGGACTGGGGTGAGGGACAGCAGGAGCCCATGGCCCAGAGCTTTCACCTCAGGACAAAGTGTTCGGATTTTATGTAAGGGCAGCGGGAAACCAGTGGAACAACACCACCTGATAGAACATTCTGTAGCCATGGAAACGTTCTCCGTCAATACGGTGGCTGCTAGACTCACGTGGCTACCAAGCCCTTGAAATACAAGTAGTACATCTGAGGGGCTGAGTCTTACACTCTCTCATTTTAATTAGCGTAAACAGACACATGGGACTAGCGAGCGCCATATCGGACAGTGCAGCCGTGGAGAATGTTCTGCAGGAGGCACGGACACGTGCCGGGCCCGGAATGGGGTGAGGTACTGGGGCGGATGGGCTTGGTCGGATGACCCAACAGCTGACGTGGTTGCTGGCACTTGCAGTGGCCGGACGGGGCATGAGGCCCCGGTAGCACGCCGTGGACCGGGAGTGTGCCGCTGCCACGCATGGTTCGGCCCCTCAGTGACTGCAGTAGCCCGAACCGCCACCATGGTGAAGCTGCTGGTGGCCAAAATCCTTTGCATGGTGGGCGTATTCTTCTTCATGCTGCTTGGCGCCCTGCTCCCCGTGAAGATCATCGAGACGGATTTTGAGAAGGCCCAGCGCTCTAGGAAGGTCCTGTCGCTCTGCAACACCTTTGGAGGCGGGGTCTTCCTGGCCACGTGCTTCAATGCTTTGCTGCCCGCCGTGAGAGAAAAGGTAAGGCCGCGCTGGGCCCCTTACGGCCAAGGCCTCTGACACTTTCTCAACTCTGACCCCGACCCCTGCAGGGGTCTTGACACCCCAGGATGACTGGGAGTAGAAATAAATTTGCTGTGGGACCGTGAGTCGGCTCTTCCCTCTGGGCCTCATTTGGTAAACGAGGGGTTTCAACTAGATCTGGGGGTCCCAGCCAGCGGGCTCATCGGCCATTCCCGGACCAGACTGCCTCCCCTGGGCCGCGGACGCTGTGTCGCAAGGCTGGTGGTTGTGGCCTCTCTCCAACCGCCACGTCAGTCAGCTGCCACTGCATGATGACAAGCTCGGCACCTTAGGACGGCACATGTTTACTGTCTCACGGCATCCATGGACCAGGGCTGGGCCCTCTCTCCAGGCTCTCAGGAGGCAGCAGTCACGGTGTCCCCTGGGCCGCCGTCTCATCTGAAGGCTTGACTGGGGACAGGTCAGCTCCTAAGCTCACGTGGTCATAAGCGGGTTCAGCCCCTTCCTGGTTGGCAGAATGAGGGCCTGGTTCCTCCCTGGCTGTTGGCTGGGGGCCACCCTCAGTCCCCTGCCACATGGGCCCCCCTGGGTGGCCGTTCGCCTGGGTTTCTGACGTTCAGCCCCGCGAGACGCTACGTCTGTGCTGCATTACGCAGCCAAGCCCGTGCTCCTTCGCTGCATGGCATGGATAGTCACACAGCCGGCATCGACGAGGGGGAATCTCAGAGTCCTCTCTGATGCCTCTGCACCCCAGTGCCCCTTCCAGCACCCCCCCGTTTCCCACACTCCCACGGCGTCGCCCCTTGACACCCTCCTGCCTCAGGCCGGGCTTGCTGCAATGGCCTTATCCTCCCCGACCCTCTTCGGTGCACGTGGCCCTCTCGGGTCCTCCCGTAACCACACCCCTGCCCACGGCTTCCCGCGCCTCATGGACCAGGTCCCTCCTCCCAGCCACCATCCAGCCTCAGCTGGCAGCACCGGGTCTGTCACCCCGTGGCCTTTGTATGTCAGCCTTGTCCTTCCTGACCCATGTTTGTCCCTCTGGGATGATGTTTCTCACGAGCTGGCGGCCCCCACCAGGCGTGCAGCAAATGACCGACGTGGCTTCTCTGCAGCAGCGGTTCCCACCCAGGGAGACTTCGTCCTCGGCGACACTGGGCCATGTCTGGGGACATGCGTGGTTATCATGACTGGAGGTGCTCCTGGCATCGAGTAGATGGGGCCAGGGATGCTGCTCTGCACTGCGCAGTGTTCAGGGGATGACCCCGCCGCGCCTGTCCCTGGAGCGCAGGATCCCCTGAGTGAGAACAGTGCGTGTGTGTGCGCATGCGCGTGTGGGTGTGTTCACGGGTTGTAACGAAGTTTATGATGGGCAGGGAGATTGGGGCAGTGAGCAGAGATTGCAATTAGGGCGCCTGGAGTAGGTAGAGCCCTTGGGAACTACATGTAGACCGTAAGTAAAACCGAAGGAGGAACATTCTGGACAGAGCCAGCGGCCCAGCCCCGAGGCTGTAAGGGGCTCGGCAAGTGCAGACACCCTCACGTGAACCCCGGCCCCGGGGAGCGCAGCGCCCACCTTGCTGGACAGCATCCAAACCATGCCATCCAGTGCAATGGCCGTGCCCGCATGATCTAGTATCAGTGCGTTAAAGTGAGACATAGTTCAACATGGCAGCCCTCGGCCGCACAGCCACGTTGCAAGTCCTCGTGGGTCGCCCATGGCTGGTGGCTTTTGTATCAGGCAGCACAGAGAGCGTGTCCATCATGCAGATCATCCTGGTGAGCGGCAGTGGCTTGAGGGGTCTGACGGGTATGTGTCAGCAAGCCTTCACCCAGAGCGCAGGGTGACAGGAAGACCCCGGACACAGAGCCCCACCCGGATCATGGAAGTAAACCCCACGCAGACGTGAGGCCCCGAAAGGCTACTCTGTGGTGGTGGAGCCCGGAATTCCCAGATCCAGGTGCTGGCAGGGCCGGGTCCTTCAGAGGCCAGGAGGGAGAGCGTTTCACGCCCTCCCAACTTCTGCTGGTCACCGGCCATCCTTGGCTTACAGACACGTCACCCAAGTCTCTGGCTTAGTCTTCTCTTGGCCAACTGCCTGTGTGTCTGTGTTGATGTCTCCTTTTCTATCTCACGAGGACACCTGTCGTTGGATTAAGGGCCCACCCCAACCCAGGGCAGTCTCCTCTCAAGGTCCTTATCTCACATGTGAGTTTCCTGGCGACAGTGCAGCTCCAACAACAGACGTTTATTCTCTCTGGTTCTGGAGGCTGGAAGTCCACGATCCAGGCGCCAGCAGGCTGGGTCCTTCTGAGGCCTCCCTCGTGCTGCCTTTCCACATGGCGGTCCCCATGTCTCTTCCTCTTCCGGGAAGGACACCGGTCGGTGTGCCCCAAAGGCCTCATTTTAACTGAGTCACGTCTCCAAAGATTCTCTCCAAATGCAGTTGATTTTGAAGTACCAGGGGCTGGCAGACTTGAATACGTGAATTTTTTTCCGGGGAGAGGACACGTTTCAGCCCTTAACCCTTTAGTTCTGGGTGGGCGTATCTTTGGCGGCCATGATGCAGCCCCCTGCGGTGAGGCCCTGCCATTCCCTTTGAAACAGGGCTTTTGTCCATTCTGTCAAGGAAGAACCCTTTTTCTTCTCGTATGAATTGGGTGTCACGGTGCTTTGCTAATTGAATAGTGGCATCAGACGAACCCCGTCGCGTTGGTGGCGAGGGTCCCCGCCTCTGAACCCCTCTCGCCTCTCCCCCTCCCTCCCTCTGTTCCAGCTCCAGAAGGTTCTGAGTCTCGGGCACATCAGCACCGACTACCCGCTGGCAGAGACGCTCATGATGCTGGGCTTCTTCCTGACCGTGCTCCTGGAGCAGCTCGTCCTGACGTTCCGCAAGGAGAAACCATCGTTCATCGACCTGGAGACCTTCAACGCCGGCTCAGACGCCGGCAGCGACTCAGAGTATGAGAGCCCCTTCATGGGGGCCGCACGGGGCCACACGCTCTACGCAGAACCCCGCGCCCACAGCCACGGGCTGAGCATCCAGGAGCTGTCGCGCTCCAGCCCCCTGCGCCTCCTCAGCCTGGTCTTCGCACTGTCGGCCCACTCGGTCTTCGAGGGCCTGGCCCTGGGCCTGCAGGAGGAGGGCGAGAAGGTAGTGAGCCTGTTCATGGGCGTGGCCATCCACGAGACGCTGGTGGCCGTGGCCTTGGGCATCAACATGGCCCGGAGCTCCATGCCCCTGAGGGACTCGGCCAAGCTGGCCGTCACCGTGAGCGCCATGATCCCCCTGGGCATCAGCCTCGGCCTGGGCATCGAGAGTGCCCAGGGCGTGCCCAGCAGCGTGGCCTCCGTGCTACTGCAGGGCCTGGCGGGCGGCACCTTTCTGTCCGTCACCTTCTCGGAGATCCTGGGGAAGGAGCTGGAGGAGAAGAATGACCGTCTGCTCAAGGTCCTCTTCCTGGTGCTGGGCTACGCCGTGCTGGCCGGCGTGGCCCTCCTCAAGTGCTGAGCGTCCCGAGCCCTCGGGGAGCCCTGGGCCAGACGCGAGGGGACCTCAGGTGCCCGGCCTCCGCCCGCGCGCGAAGGGGCCTGGGACCAGGCCGTGCCCCAGACCCTACGCCCCCAGCCTCGGGGCTCCACTACTACTTGTAAAAATATTTCTGTTAAAGTTATTTCCCACACTGTGTGGCCACGTCAACCTCTGGGTGGGGTTCTGGTGACACACGGGAGGTGGGGCCGGGCGCCCGCACAGGGTCAGGCCGAGACCAGCCTCTCTCCGCTCACCGAACTGTGGCCGAGGGCGGGACATGCTGGAGGCTCTGCGGCCTCTGTCCTCTCCCGCCAGCTGGCCCCGTTGCTGACAGAGGAGGCCACCGGCATGGAGTATCTGTTCCTCGGTTAGATGGGCTGGCTCCTAGACTCCTGTCACCCGAGGCTGCGCCTCCAGAGGTATGGCAGGTCCCAGGTGCCACCTTCCCTGCCTTACTGCCTTCTGAGGAGTGTACCCTCGGGGACAGGGGTCTCTGGGCCAGCATGAGCCTGTGGGTTTCCCGAGGGAACAGAGACACACAGGCTGAGACACCTGCGGGCAGGGCGAGGGCGGCATGGCCGTCTGTGCACCCACGGTCTCCGGAGCAAGACGGACCGGGCCGTGGGGCAGGGGCTACACAATGAGATTCCCCACCAGACACAAAGGCGACCAGTCCCCGAGGAGCCAGAGGGCAGAGACAACGGTCTAGTGGGGCTGGTGCGAACCCTGGCGCCGTGGCAACGCCCCATTAGCCTGGGCTGTCGTCCTGGCGACCCAGGGCATCCCCGGGGAGTGGGAGCCCGGGAGTCGGGCTGGGCCTTTCCTGGGAAATTTGCTCGGAGACAAGGCTGGAGCAGGCTCAGGCCTGGCACCCCACGCGGCGTTTCATGGCCGCAGCATCACCCAGCTCTGCCCGGGCCGCCCGCTCCTCACGCCCTTCCTGCTTCCTGCCACGGATGCGGGGCTGAGGGCCCAGGTCTGCGCCTTTCTGCAGTCCCAGATTTCCTTCCTACGCCCACCGACAGCAGCAGGGCACTCGAGGTCCCCAAAGAGGACAGGCCCTTCCGCTTAGGGCCCAGCGGGGCCTCCTGCCATCACTGTGACTAGGTCGGGACTCCAGGAGCAGCTGCTTGCTTCTCCGAGGGTGGGCGCCCCGGAGGCCGGCCCGCTGCTGTCTGCTCAGCCCACCGGCCACGGCGTGAGGAAGCACAACTTTCGTGACAGCCCCAGCCTCCACTGATGTTACAAGAGTGGGGAGCAGGGACGTGTGTCCGAGACCCCTCCTGTCCGCTCTGCCGCCCCTCACCCAGGCACTGCCGGAAGCATTGGGCCCATTTCCAGGGACTTCTGTCTGGACCTGTTCCTGGGGACTCATCTTCAAATCCTGCATGGCCTGGCCCTGACCCCAAGCCCGGAAACTACCCTGCGGGTATGGGGACGTTGCCTCTCCTCCAAGTCCTAAACCCAGTGCTCCAGCCCCCGCCTGCCCCACTTCCCTCCGCCCAGAACTGGAAGGGTCCACTGGTTTGGCCTTTGCCCTGGGTAGGCCCGTCGCCATGGAGTCCGCCTTGGGCCAGGTATGAGGTGGAGGATCGGGGTCTCCTACCCAGGAAGGCTCAGGGGCCCCTGTCTCCCCAAGTCCTGTGGGAACCCCACACGGGGACAGAGCAGTCTGCTCCAGGGGGTCCCAGCTCCATAGCCCTCATTCCCATCACCGAAAGCACACACGGAAGCCATCAGCTCCTTGGGGTGGCCCTGGGAACATCACCTGCCCCCCACCAGTTCCCATGTCCCTCTTCCCTGTCCCCATTGGCAGTTCCAAGGCCATGTTGGTCCCCTCACTCTGAGCTGGCTTCCAGCCAGCAGGCCCAGGAAGGGCACTGCCACGCCAGCGACACCCCTCTGCCTGTCCCTCAGACACTGCCTCCCAGAGTCCCGGCATCCTCATGTCCCCACGTGCCTCCCCCACCTCTGATTGCTGGGCAGTGGCCGCCCCAGCTGCCCCTCTCCCCAGGTTTTCACCAGCCCCAGCAAAGCTGCTTCTGGGCCCCTGGGTAACAGCGCCCCAAAGGTCTGGGAGGTGGTGTAGGAGGGATACAGGCGGCCCCTCTGGCCCCCAAGGCCACCCCTCCTGTCTGCTGTGGTTGGAGGAGCAGGGTCAGCCTCGCAACAGCCAGCCGGCCACAGGGGTGACGGTGTCTTCGGCCAGCGTGGGTCAGCTTTCCCCACCCTAGCCAAGGATCAGAACGCCTCCACATTGGGGCAAGAAGAGTGGCGGTCCCATGAGGGGTGGTGGGAAGCAAAGCTCACTCCTGAGGGCCCCGGACCAGTGGTGGCCACACCTGCCAGAGCAGGCCCCCTGAGGCCAGTGCAGGGTCCCCACCCCTACCGGCTCTGACCAGGAGCACCACCACGTGCTGATGGAGCTCTGGCTTGAATAAGGCTGTGGCTGGTCACCACCTGGGGCTCTGGGCCAGCCCCACCTCGAAACCGGATGTCAGCCACAAAGGCTTCGTCCACCTCCATGCAACTTGCGACATCCAGAAAACGTGGCATGGCCGGTGGAAGCAGAGATTCCTCCTCGGGGGTCTTTGCGGGCTCTGGTTCTCAATCCAGGCGATTCTCTCCCCTAGAAGACACTGGGTGACTTCTGGGGACATCTGTGGTTGTCACACCTGGGGGTGCTCCTGGCATCGAGAGGGTGGGGGCAGGGAGGCTGCTCAGGCCCCACAGAGCCCAGGGCATCCCCATAGAGTGAGCCAGCGGCCCCACCGCCCTCTGAAGTCCACCCCTCGTCAGGGCTCACAGCACAGGCGGCACAGGCGACAGCTGGATGGAGTCAAGCCGGTTCCCCCTCCTTGATCTGGAGACAAAAGAAGAGAAAACGGGGAGGTGGCACCCGGGCCTCGAGGACTGAATTAACCGTAATAACAGCGTGTCGGGGCTTCTGTTGTCTGCTGTTTGTGTTTCTTAGGGAGAACTTATTAGTGCGGGGCGGGGAGGGGCGTGCCAGTTCACGGGCCCATCTGCGTCCTCAGGGCCCCGAAAAGCTGGCAAGGGATGGGGTGGTGTCGCCCAGCACATGATGCCTTCGGACCCGCCCGGGCCACCAGCTCAAGACCCTAGGCCCCACTAGAAAGAGAGGCGCACGCGTGCACACACCCACCCACCATCCCAGCCAGCGCCGCCCTGAGCTGTCTGTCAGCTTCAGAGGGTGGGGAGGGGGCGGGGGCGGGGCTCACGAGGGCGGAGGGGGCCGCTGTAGGGTGTGTAGGTGGTTCTGCGAAGACCCTAGAATTCTCCTCCGGGCTGTTGGAGTGCTGAGACCAGATTGGGCTCAGATCAGGGACACCCCATCTGTCCCAGCCACGTCCCCCTCCACTGCTACCGGGGCAGGAACAGCTGAGCTGGCAGGCTGCGGTGTTCTGGCCCAGAGCCGGAGTGGCTGCTGCATGCCCCGCCTGGCAGGAGAGGACCGGGCTGGCAAGGTGAGCAGTTCAGAACCCCCGATTTTTGGGTGCTGGGCACGCACGGCCAAGGGGCTGCATTTGGCCATCACGGTTGGCAGGCCTTTTCCCTCAAGGGACCAGCGAGGTCCCCTCTGAGCTAGTTAAGGTGCAACCACTCGTACCAATGAGCCTGCCCTATAGAGGGGTCCCCCCTTGGCACTGTGGACGTCAGGGCCACAGTTCCTCTCTGTGGGGTCCATCTGGACACTGGGGTATTGAGCAGCCTCCCCGGCCTCCACCCACTCGATGCAGGGGCACCCCAGTCGTGACAACCACAGATGTCCCCGGACATGGCCCGGTGTCGCCCCAGGCGAGATCCCCTGGAATGGAAGGCAGGTCCCATTCTAGGGAGGGAGACCGGTGAATTATCAGCATGTGTCAGTGGCAGGGAGCAATGACAGCCCCAAAGATGGGAAAGCCCAGCAAAGGGAGGCAGGGCAGTGTCCGAGGACCACGTGACTCACAAGATGGGGGAGCCCTTCCACCGGGGGGGCGGCCTGTGCAAAGGCCCTGAAGTCTCTACAGGTCACATGCTTTTTTCTGAGTGACCAAAGCAGTCCTGGCTCTGTAAACAGACCCGGGCATTCCAGGGGTTCATCCTGTGGTGGCGAGGCCTTCGGTGACCCCGCTCCTCCGAGTGGTGACACCAGCGCAGCCCGTGTGCTGAGGAGTAAGCCAGGCCGCCTCCGGGGACCAGGCAGGTGGCTTCGGCCAGGACCTAGCGTCTTCCTCCCTGGGCCGGGGTCCAGCTCCCGCAGGTTCTGACCAGCAGAATCCAGGCTCATGCATACCAGTCCGTTCGTTTTTCCAGGCAAACTGGGTTTTGACAAACAATTTCCTTATTTTACAACGTTGACACCAAACTTAAAAACAAACGAAAAACCTTGGTGGCCAAACTGCACCTGTGCGAGGCCGTGGGCCCAGCCTGCTTTGGCAGCATCATTGCATGAGTCCAAGAGCACGGACAGCAGAGAATTCCACCTGCTGCCCGCCTCCCCCCAGGCAGCTGCACCACGGGTTCAGGGCAGGGCGGGGGATAAGAGAGGCCCTTGTGACCCCTGCTGGGAACACTGGTGCAGGGAGAAGCCCCACGGCCTGCCAGGCCAGGCGGAGTGGGGACAGTGCAGGTAGAACGCTGTCCCTTGCAGTTGAACCCATTCCCTTCTCTGAGCCCCAGTTTCCGCAAGGGTAGAGCGGTCCCCTATACACCCCAGGAACTCCAGAGCTGTCCCCGCCGGACCTCCAAGGGGAAGAGGGTACTGCAGTTCTAGTTTGGGAAGCTGGGGAGTGGGGTTGGGCCTCTGAGCCCCAGGGAGGGCGAGGAGGGGACTCTGGGGCCTGACTTCCCCTGGCTGAGAGCCTGGCCTGGGAGCTATAAATAGCAAGAGCAGAGTGGCCCCGCTGCTGTGCCCACAGCCCGTGCATGAGTCAGCCTGCCCCAGCCTGGGCTGGCGTCTGGAAGAAGCAGAGGCCGGGCCCAGCGCCACCAGTCACTCAGGAGACGAAGGCGGGCAGGGCATTCGGAGTGGCATAGTGGGCCGTGCCCAGCAGCCCCACGTTGGTGGACGCCCTGACCACTCCCAGCAACCCTGAGAGGCCGGACAGCAGTGAGCCTCATGGAGAAACTGAGGCCCAGAGGGGTGTTTGGCTGGGATGCACAGCCCAGCCCAGAGGCCAGGATCCGTCTGCCCATGGGCTGTCTCCACGTCCAGCTGAGAGGCAGAGGGCGGGGGCCAGGTCACCTTCTGAGGGGCCTCCCAAGGCCAAGAACAGGGCAGGGGCAAGGTGTGGGGGGGAGGGGGAGGGGCAGGAGAGCTGGAACAGTGGGTGCCAGGCTGAGAAGCCGAGCATGGTCCTCAGGCAAAGGAGACGTGGAGGGGTGAGAGCCGGGAGGCCCCTTTCGGAGGCTGGGTGCTGAGTGCTCGAGTGGAAGCGAGCAGACAGGGCGGTCCTAGAAGCCAGGAAAGAAGCAGGGGGACGGTCCAGGCGGAAGAGACCGCTGGGGGGGCAAGGAAAAGCGGGACATCGAGCCCCAGAAGAGTCTGCTTCGGCTAGAGCCATGGGAACAGTGGGTCAGCGAGAATCGACGGGCCAAGAACCAGGGAGACCCTTGGGCTCCTGCCGACCATGTGCTCACACTTCATGACGGGGAGCTCACCACCTCCCAAAGAGCCTCTTTCACCCTCAGACTGCTCTGACCCCAGAAAGCTCCCCTCACGGGACCTCAGTGTCAGCCTCCCCATTAAGGGTGCCTTCCTCCAGCAGGCTTGAGGGCTGGGGCTGCCTTGTGTCCACCCCGGGCCCGGTGGCTGCACCCCAAAGTCCAGTCTCCTCTGAGATGAGCCTCTGCTCTCCGGGTCTTCAGGAGGGGGAAGGTGACGCATCTCGTGAGCGGAAACGTGGATGCAGACACACCAAACGCACAGATGCTTCCCAAAGACGAACGTTTATTCTCAGAGTTACCTATTTGAGGAGGATAAATATTTCTGTACCGGAACACTGTAAAAAACGTTCCTTCCTAGCCCCCTTTGTCCACCCCCACCTCGAATGCGACCCCCCCAGAGTCATCAAAGACCCAGCTGCCCTCTCCCCCAGGTGGGCTGCCCTTAGAGGCTCCGCCCAGACTCAGGTCATCTGCAGGACCCTTCTTTCTTCCCCTCCCACAAACCCCCGGGGAGTGGTCTCCAGGTACGCCCCTCTCCCCCGTTTCCCCAGCCGCTGGGGCCACCTCTGCCTTCTCATACATATTTGTTGGTTGATTGATCATTTGTTTATTCCACCAAGGCACCTCCCCTGGTGGGCCCCTGAGCTGGACCCCGGCCCCCACTAACCCCAGGGCGTCCCATGCTGCTCGTCCAGACCCCTTCTCTGCAGTTCTGCCAAGAGTTCCTTCCCTCTGTCACACCTCCCCGCTGCCCCCCACCCCCGGCCTGGGATGTCCCATTCTTGCCCAGCACCTGGTTTTCGGGGTGACCCTGGGCGCGCCAGCTCCCACTCGGGCTCCAGGAAGAAGTAGACCCCACTTTCTTTGCGCTCTCGCGTCCTGGCGACCTCCCCAGGGAC